GCCAAAGCTGACATCGAAAAAAGCACTACAATACACAGAGGAGACGTGAAAGGCAACAACAGTGACGAGCAAGAGGGCAGGTAGAGGAGGAGGGCTGCGATATTTGATGTGAAAGAGTCTCAGATCACTGTCGGTAAAGAGAAAGCTACCCGTGACATTAGGAGCGCACAAACATATGCCGACACGAGCTAGCAGAATGCGGGCGCATAAATATAGTACTTGACTTCCAGATGCATGACTGAATGAAGTCCGTCGCGAGATATTGGCGAGCGGAGTAGTTGAGGGGGCGTAGGCCCTATCAACGCGTTGAGGGGTCAATTCTACGAGCTAATCAAACTTCATGGGCGCAGCTCAGTGTCGCCGGCGACGCTTGCAGAAAAGAAGAAGAGATCACCAGAGCCTATTTTTGCGCAAAATACTTGGCTTTCAAGCCGCCTGACAACTTGCCAAATCGCGGATCCATAGGTATGTGTGTGTGCGTGTGTGTAAATATTTGCTCCATTGAGGCAAAAGAAGGCGAGTTCTAGGAGGCAACTGAGAAGTTATGATCGGAGTAGAGAAAAACTGTCCTTCTCTTGGCTTTTAGGATTCGCACAGACCTTGCGATACGGCCATAGCAAAAGAGTGATGAACGGAGAGGGGAGTGCACGATTCACAATATCGCCTTGCCATAGGACCACACAGCTCTCATTAATAGCAGCTGCATTTGAGTCACCGATTTTATTCCTTACCCGACTATTTCGTTCGCTGAAACTACAACGGGAAGCAGTATCTGCCCGTTCGCTATGGAAAAAGAATGCGGGAGCTCCTAATCATAAGAGGTATGTAGTTGCATATGCATACCGACCTCCCCCCTGGCGAGTACACTTGAAGGCTAAAGGATAAACTGATCGCATCTGGCTCGGTACAACCAGGATTCAAGTGTTTTGGAGAAAGTTGGAAAGTCTATTTGGCTCAGACGGTGATCTACATTCGGATTATACCGGTCTTGATTTGTTTATTGCACGTCCGAGAAAGAGTAGGTATTCCAACCTGTCACGTTATCGTCAAGCGGGATTCGTGGCGCAATTGATCACCTCCCCTCTCCTTCTCTATTCCCCCCCCCCTCCCTAAATACAACGCTCGTGGGTTTTGGTGTGGCAGGCTAATGGATAAAAAGCAGTCAGAAAGATAGGGGAAAGAGCGAAAATATCGTCGTCACCACCACCAGTA